AGTATTTTTGGATGGTTGAGTCTGTGTGCGTTTTTGATAACATAGCTCCAAACTATTAAAGCTTCAAAGGCCCATCTACAGGATGCAAGTTGAACGTACTGTATATACGATGATTTTAATGCGAAAATGCCAGTTTAGAGAGTCTAGATTTTAAAAAATTTCTGAAGAGGATGCAACCCGATCCCCAACAAGCTATCTGTATGAACGATTGAAAAGCTACAGAGCTATATTTGGTGGAACATTGTTGTTTCGGAGGGCAGTTAAAAATTGCATTATTGAAATCTTGTTTTATTACATATTAATCAAAGCTCATTTTGTGATTTTCCCTTGTTTAAAATAAAGGACAGTAAGTGTTCCTTAGGCTTAGTACAGCAAAGTTGTCGTGGACGAATCCATGGCTGAAAACGCAGGAAATAGCATTTCCGAGGTTCAAATTTTAAAATTTTCTCGGGGGAGCATGCCCCCGAACCCCCCAAGGTTACAGGTCATTCATATACTGTACCCTCCCCCATTTTCGAGTACTCTACTCTATCCCTGCACAGTTTTAGGTTTTGGTGCAGTTATACATTCTTTGTAAGTAAACTTGCACGCTTTAGTGTGGGGAACATTAAGACATAACCATATAAAATAAAGCACAGTGAAAATTCCTTGGCCCCTCTTGGGATTCAGTTCTCGGCCTCCTCTGACTGAAAACCCCTGCTACGTCTCCGATGATAGCTATATGAAAGCCTAAAGTTACTGTAAGCCGTTATTATGAGAGGCAAAAAAAATATCCTGCCGCCAAATATATTGGGAAAAAATATCTTGCGCTGCACTTTTACAGGAAAAAATATCTGTCTTGTTCGCCTGGGCGGAAAAAAAATTCTTGCACAGACTGAATCTCCCCCCCCCCCCTAAAAAAGTCAAATGGTCCGCCCCTTAAGTTTTTCCCACCGATGTTAATATTCATTCCACTTGAAAATTTTTTTATTTCTGCCATGTTCCGATAATCATATACTCTGTTTTACCAACATTCAAAGTTAATTTATTGGCTACTATCCACTGATGGATATTGTTCAAGTCCGAGTTCAAAATGGCTTGTAAATTGTTAATATCATTGGAACACGCCGTCAAATTCGTATCATCCGCATACATTTCAGCACCAGAATGTCTTAGACAGTTTGGGAGATCGTTGACATACAAGAGAAATAACAATGGACCGAAATTTGAACCCTGTGGAACTCCACAGCGTATATCTTTTGTTGACGATGCTGCACTTTCTACCTTGCAAAACTGTTTTCGATCAAATAAATATGAAATAAACCACTTGAGGGCAGTATTTTGAACCACATGAATTTTTAACTTCTTAACGAGGATTTCATGATCAACCGTATCAAATGTTTTACGCAGATCAGGAAATACAACTCCGTTTTATACAAGCCCAGCATCCATATTGACTAGCCATGAATCGCTATTTGACAACAAGGACGACATTGTTGAGTGGTTCTGACGGAAGCCCGACTGACACGGGCTTAGAATGTCATTTGCATTTAAATAATCTGTTAACTGTATGCATACGAGCTTCTCAAATAGTTTTGCGACTGTTGAAAGAACAGATATCGGTCTATAATTACCCCTTTCTTTTTTATCACCTTTATAAATTGGTGAGACTCTTGCCACCTTAAGGTTATCGGGAAATATCCCACTATCGGAAAATATCCCACTACTTAGGGAAGTATTAAATATGTATGCCAAGAAAGGTGCAACTGTCTCTTTGGAGTCTTTTAACAGTTTAACTGGGATATTATCTGGGCCATATTTCCAGTTCATTAAGTACGTACAATTGTGCTATCAACAGTCGCAAATTCAAATATTCCAGAAGCTTCATGCGTCATTTAACTTCATGATCTAAATCATGATAGAGGCCTCGTATCCTAGGAAACGGGAATAAACGCGGGAAAATTGACAAAAATGTTTTTTTTTGCTGTCGGCTATCGCAGCTTTTTTCCGAAAATATTACAGCAGTCAATTGGAAAAGGAAACCTTTGTACTATTGTCGTAGTTTGTATGGCCAAAACAAACAACCAACAAGGCTAGAAAACGTTATAGAACACCCAAATCGTGAGAAATATGAAACTATTGTTGAAGAAATAAGATTACAAATGATCGGACGGGTAAGGATTCATTTGCATACGTATACTGTATGAAAGTTTATATGTCAAAATGTGCTTTAAAATTCTCCTGAGCCAAAACTTTCTGCATCATTATGCGTTTTGAACATTTCTAAGTCGGTCCTAGACGAAAAAAAGTCTCAAACTTTAGTTGACTCAAGACTCTTGTTTTCTTTCATATTAATGTCAAATTCCACAAATTATACTTTCATTCCATAGTTGTCTTGATTTTTCACGGAATAATCTATATATAATTATTGACGTTAAAATCTCAGTAAAATACTGTTTTTCGCTTCGCCTTCGGGATAAACACCATCGCTTAGTACGCGTTGTCATATCAGTTCCACACAAAAAACGCCGAGAAAAACCGGTCTAATATACTCGTTAACAGCTTTCGTTGTGGGCACAAAATCTTAAAATACACACAAAAATCGTTATAAATCGAAATAAGCAACAAGAAACAAGCCGTTAAAGTCGACACAATAGCATCTGAATTTGGCTTGTAAAGCATTTTTCGCTTGTTTTCCCGCGTTTCCCCCGCATGCTAGGATATACGAGGCCTCGATCACGATTTATGAATAAGGACTATACACTGAACTATATAACATATATAGTTCACCGAGTCTATATAGACCGTCTACATCATTAATTTATTTTAAATTATTGAAGAATACGAATGTTCTCATCACGACGTTTCACAAGCTATTTACAACATTTGCGTCATTTGCGTCCGTGCTGTATCGAATATGCAAACTCTCGCCTTCGGCTCGAGTTTATATATCCGATACAACATGGCCGCTGATATTGTAAATAGCACATTAAATATTATCATAATTAAACTGTATGCAAACATAGACCGCGCTGCACCACGGTTAAAATTCACTGGTACCGTCATGCAATGCACCAAATAGAAAATTTTGATTTCGACCCACAAAACAAAATTAGGATCTGCTGCCTTGCTCGCTCGCTTCAGGCTCGCTCGCTGCGGCAGCAATTATATTTTAACAACACAATTATATTCTAACTGCAGAAAATCAGAAACCTGCACATTGATAGGATTCCAACTACCTGAAAAATACAAGCAAAAGTACGACGTTTCGAGCGAAGGCATCGACTTCGTCGGGATAACTTCCCAACAAAGGGCCGAAACTCGAAACGCTGACGTTTTGATTGTATTTTTCACGTCCTAGATATTTGACTTTGTATACAGAAGATCTATTATCTGATACCATCTAACAACCATCTGACACACTTCTACCATCAGAAACTATCAGACACTGTCTTCACCATCTGATAACGCTTCCCTGTCTAGCCACCCTATACCATCTGACACTACACTATATGACACCATCTTCACCATCAGACATCATATGCCTGTATTCGACATTAGTCAGAATCGAACATGGTATCAAACTGCAGATTAGACAGTGTAATATAAAAAAGAGAGTATGTTTAATATCTAGCTGTGTATATACATAGTAGAAATTGGTATTTTCAACTTGCACGCATAGATGATCAATGTCTATTGATTTTAGGGGGAATTTGTTGACGGTGGCACAGAAACACATTTTAAACTCCACAATAAATACAATGCTCATATCAAAGCAATTAGTTCTGGCAGACGGAGAGAGGGAATTATTCACACGCTGTTTGTTGAAGACCAAGAAATCGCAGAGACAGATATAGACATCAAGGAGAATTAGCGTCACGCTATAGAATTGTGTCAGCAGAAAGAAAGTGAAACTATTTATAACACTGAAAAAAGCAAATGCTGCTTGATCACAAAATATAGTCGAGGTTTTCACAAATGCTTGCGTGATGGTGAGTTAGGTGATACAGTGTTTTGTCTGATTACATATGCATGATATCAAGAATATCCAGACCTTGATGAGTTTTACCTAGGTATGCACTTTTCAATTTATGCACTTGGGAAATGTATATTTTCTAATTTAAAACCAATCAACCGTGCGGAAACTACTGTAATTGTTCCTTGAACAACGTTTCGCTACGTGTTATAGTTCGACTGCATTTACCTCGACGCAGAATGCATAATTTAGATGCGCATTCCGTGAAACTCCGAAACTTATTGCTCAATGTAGATATGTATTTAAGTAGATAATAATGTATTTAATTTCACATACAGTGAAACCTCCATTGAGAAATTCCTTGGAAACGAACACCTCCGCGTTGTTTGGAGGTATCCGCTGTCTACAGTATAGATGTTTACACGGGTAAAAACGCTCAGGTTGATGTAATATTGATGAAAACAGGATTGAACAGTGCATTGCTGCCCACATTGTTCACAGTTGTCAACAATATTGAACAATATTGTTACACCCGACTCAGGCTCAACAATATTATTCAATATTGTTGACAAGTGTGAACAACGTGGGCAGCAAAACATTGTTCAATCCTGTTAAACAGCGGGCCTGGCGTTTTTTGCCGTGTAGTGGCAGTAGCCGACGAATGTAGTGTGCAAGATACAATGTTACAGTAAAAACTGGGATAAATTGCATTTGCAGTTTAACATGTACCCTGAGACTGGGAGAATTATAGAATATGCATATAAGAGTATTTATAGCTGTTTCACTCATACAATAGAACTGTCATTAAATATTTTATGTACTACCATATTTTGTAAGAAAGGTACACTCAACACTCAAGGGAATATATTTTGGGTTTTTTAAAGCGAATCAACCGGGCCAAAAAATAATGTGGGTTTCCGGTTTCCTCTTGTAAAAACTTAGGTAGGGTAGGTCGGTTTTAACTTTTTCTTTAAACTTTTTCAATTTTCCTATAACAACTTTTCCTATAACAACATTTTTCTACAAGCGTGATCCAATAAAAAGGTTTAGAGTCGGGATTTTGGCGTCCAAAAGCTAGGTAGGGTCGGGAAACCGGAAACCCACATATTTTTTTTGGCCCCATTCTTTGAGCGTCTTTTTGCATATTCACATGACGATTCAACAGTTGAATCAATTTGATATGCATACCAGTGTATTCTAATTCTTCCAGTCTCAGCTACATGTTATAGTTCAACTGCAATTTATCCCGACGCAGAATGTGTCACTTGGATGCCAAGTTTTTATAGTCAAGTATTTTTCTAACTTTTATAATTATGTTAACTTTACAAATAGTTCAATTCAATGAAACGGCATCTTTTTATTTAAACATATATATTACTAACGTTTGCCCAAGAGCACTAGACTCATCTAGGAGCTTACGTTACATTTACTATTACATATAGACCGGACAGACATATAGTTACATTTACATTAATTTTACAAAGTTCAAGACATATATAGAAACACACATAATAAATTAATTAAACAACAAAAGATGATAGCTATGACGAAATTAAAGAAAACGTTTAGATTCCCTAATGTATTGTTGAACATACTCAAATATCACAGTATTGTCTTTGAGTTCTAAATTAGATGAACCAAACATAAGTATATTCACCTGTCATGTCAGATAAACGACACCAGCTATCACCATAAACTTGTGCAGCAGCCGAGAGCAAGATTGATCTTAGAGCAGCATACCGTGGGAATTTTAACAAGCAATGAGCTACTGTTTCACAGCCAGCACCACAAATACAGTCAGGTGTTAAACTACGATTTATTCTAAATAGATAGTAGTTCAACGCACAACAATTTAAACGCAAATGTGCATGCAATACTGAAGTATATCTATCAATGGAATGATCAAAATAGCTATGATTACGGTCACATGAAATATCAAAAAATTTAAGAATAGCTTTTTCGACATGCAGGACTCTTCGTGAAATATTGGAAGGGAGTGGTGGGCACAATTTGCTGCAAGAAATCTCAGTTCTGTAACATTTTGCCTGACATTAATACATGCAAAATTTCCTAATTTATAGCCTATATACTCAGGGCAAGAAAAAATCATTTTCTTCCTGGGAGCACAACCTGGGGACAAATATTTCCTACAGACCAACAGAGTATTGTTTTTGGTAACTGACCATGGTTTTAATTCTTCATTCAAATGAATTTCCTGCAGCTGTTTAACATTTCCTGCGAGCAGTGCTCGCGTGCATGCTCGCCTATTTTTTCCACCCCTGTATACACTAATGCCTTTAGCTTTGTTACGCCGTGGTACCATTGAAAAGCTTTCAGAAATTATTGGGGGGCGGTGGGGGTTGGGGGATTGCCTGTTGTCTCCGGTCACTAACGGCTAGTTACACATTCAAAATTTACGTGAACACACAGGCATGCAGTTAATAAAGATGTAGAACTAGAAGAAGTATATCTTATCTGTCCGACTCAGAGCAATGCTCTCTAGTCCTTTCGAATAGTCCCTTCAGTTTAGGAAACATTTAAATTCGAGTTATTCCTAATCCATCTGGAACACAGGCGGCCCAATCTTACCCTGTGTTATTAATTACGTTATATCTTTATATAAATAGTATATTGAAAATCATTAGAAAATCCTGTGTTATTAATTTATTACGTTATAATATCTTTATATAATAGTGTAATGAAAAGCACTTACATGTGTTTCTTGAAAGATTTTAACGAGAACCGGCCAAAATTGGCGTTGACAAGAGGTTAACGGCCATAGTTGGGGTTGACATGAGGATTAACAGCAAGAAATAATACAAGGCTGGTCACTTTGACCGTTAATTGGACTAATTGGGACAAACGCTGACAGAAATCAATGGTTAGGTGGAAAACGCGGACATGCGGACACACAAGTCGAGTGGAAAACGCGGACATGCGGACACGCAAGTCAGGTGGAAAACGCGGACATGCGGACACGAAATTTACTAAACTTCAAAAAATCTATTACGACAATAATTAATAATTTTTCGCGTGATATTGAAAGTTATCAATGCCGAAGTTGTGTTTTTCTCTCTCTTTTCTCTGTCTTAGTTTGTAAGCTCGTTTAGTGTATTTCGCTTCTTTTTTTAATTACAAAGACAAATCTCGCCATGGGCCATGGCTTTATATGTTCTGCATGTAAAGAAGCTCGTTTTCTGCTGGCAGAATTGATGTCATATTTACATTCAGAAAGCTATATCTGCAGGTGTGATGTCATAATTATTTTTCACCCGGCTCGGTTTCCTTTGTTCTTATCGGGGAATATATTCAATATTCCCCTCAAATCAATTTCCGTTTAATAATCCCATCTAATATTCACCTGCAATTAATAATCCCCTCTAATATTCACCTGCAATGTCTTTGCATGAGAAAAAAACAACATAACGAAGGCAATATGGCATTACTAAACAACAACAGGACATTTCCGGTAAGAGAGCGAACGTTTGGGGACTTAGCGAATGGCCTCTGCGAATGTCCAGTTGTTGTTTTGAAAGCCGACCAATGACAATGCAGCGTGTAATTCGAATTTGAAGGCCATGAATTCAGATCCGTGACGATCTGCGGAAGATTAGACATTTGTAAGTTTCAATTGGCATTTTTTGCAGGAAGATTATTGTTCAATTCTGTTAAAGAAAAGTATAATATGTAAAATTTATCGCTCTTCCGATGTAACGTAATTTGGCGAGGATGCGACAGCCGAAGTTGGCGTTATTCGATTGATTTCTGTCAGCGTTTGTCCCAATTAGTCCAATTAACGGTCAAAGTGACCAGCCTTGTATTATTTCTTGCTGTTAATCCTCATGTCAACCCCAACTATGGCCGTTAACCTCTTGTCAACGCCAATTTTGGCCGGTTCTCGTTAAAATCTTTCAAGAAACACATGTAAGTGCTTTTCATTATACTATTATATAAAGATATAACGTAATAAATTAATAACACAGGATTTTCTAATGATTTTCAATATACTATTTATATAAAGATATAACGTAATTAATAACACAGGGTAAGATTGGGCCGCCTGTGTCTGGAACAATTTTGTGGGACAATTTGGATTACGACTCAACTAATGGCATTGCTAATAATAACATGTCAGATTTAAACAAGGTACCCCCCACAAATCTCCGGCAGAATAATTCAAGTGATGTTTTCAAGGTTATTACTTTACTTGATCTCATGCTGGTTTCGCGCATGATCCACGTTTTGTATAAATAATTGCTGAATGCAAGTAGACATTTATTATGATGCAGAAATGTTGATGCTCGTGCATGGCCATTGGTTGGGGAACATAATCCAAAATTCCAAATCCGGAAATTTTTCTCTCTAGTTCCTCAACTGCCATATTATTCAACAGACAGTCAATTAATTGTATACTTATCCCCGAGCCGACGGCGCGAAGCGCTGTGCGAGGGTACTAATTCCCCCCGGCTATTTACAACCGGGGAAACGAAAGCATTAGCGAAGTCTAAAGTTCATCAATCATCGCGGGCGCTGACCAACGAACGACGATCTTGAGTGGGTGGTCATCCTCACTTATCTCAAAAATATGGCAAGCAAGATTTCAATTTTAAAAGACATATATTTGGAAAATCGTTTCATATACAACAAGCTTGAAGCAATTTTGTTTGAAGAAATGAGAAGAATTGGTTTACTACGGGAAATCGGGAAATCTACGTCAAGTTTGCTTCGAATATTTTTAAAATGTTTACGAATTTTGCTGCTTTAGCTTTTTACGTAATAAAAAACATGAACTATAGGAGCTCTAAGTTTCATAAATTACCGTTTAATTTGAGAAAAAATATTAAAATGTAAAGGGGAACAAATTGACTTGAAGACTGAACTGAAATTACCTAACAATTTTATTTTATTTGTATTAGAGGTGATCTACAGTCCGATCTGCGCATGTGCACAAAGGAGCCCACTTTTTATGATACAAACAGTTTAACTATGTTTTGGGTTCTTGAAAAGCCTGATTATTGTTTCTTGATCATTTATTATACTCTAGAAGCTTGAAAATATAAATAGTTGTCGAATAAAGCTGTCTGCTAAATAATCTAATCAACAGAACATTTAAATCGTACTTTCTCCATCATGATGTTGATAGATTTGATGAAGTTTTGCTGTAGGAACCTTTACCTCTGGTTATTTCTCTATATCTATATTACCTTATGTGGTCTTTATGTCCCAAAGAATTGTTATGTCCCAAAGAATTGTTCTAACTTTGTACAACAACATGCTATTTTCTACATATGCAAGGAAATCGCAACAACCCATATCATGAGTCTAGTTAAATACGGTTGTCGACGAAAAAGGGAAATACGAAGATCATTGCCGAATTCATCAAAGGTTTTCTTTGGGTGCCGTTTACTGCTATACGCAATTCTCGCAGTTCTAGTTATTTCTATATCTGGTGATGTAGAATCTAACCCTGAACCTGCGTCGATTACTAATAGTCATCAAGCAAGTGGTTTTCTTCAATCTCGGGGTCTTAAAGTTGCACACATCAATATCAGAAGTATCTACAATAAAATAGATTCATTAAAGCTTCTACTTAATGAAAAACCTTTTGATATTTTTACGATCTCTGAAACCTGGCTAAACTCTGATATAACTGATGGTGAAATCTCTATTCCTGGCTATACGTTTTCCAGAAATGATCGGAATGGAAGATCTGGTGGTGGAACGTTGGCATTTGTGAGAGATGGCATCCCTTACAAAATACGGACAGACCTTCTGAGTAGCAATATCGAATCCACTGTTATTGAAATTACTCGTCCAAAATGCAAAAGCCTTTTTATATTCACAATCTATAAAGCCCCTGATCAATTGTTAGAGTCACTTACTGAAGAACTTGATACTGCATTGTCCTCTATTTCGTTAGAAGCTGAAGTAATACTACTTGGTGACTTTAATGTGAACTTTTTAGCTACAAAAAATGATACTTCCCGAGCTCTTAAGCGAAAACTTCTAAGCTTTACCAGCATGTACAATCTTGAACAACTTATTGATAAACCAACGAGAATAACTGAGAACTCAAGTACATTGATTGATCTCCTATTCGCTAACAATAATCATCGAATAGTTTCCTCCGGAGTCCTACACGTAAACTTAAGTGACCATTCTCTTATCTACTGTGTTGTTAAAGTGGGTGTACGTAGAGCACCAGGAAGAGTCATAGAATACAGATCCTACAAGACTTATTCAAAGCCATCTTTCCTCGCCGATCTTGTGCATGTTAATTTCGACCTCATTGACGAAGAACAAGACATTAATGTCGCTGTAAGTAAATGGAATGAACTGTTCACAAATGTTGCCAATCTTCATGCTCCAATTAAGAAATTGAGAACAAAAGGAATCCAAACCCCATGGCTTACTACTGATTTAAACAACGCAATGCAAGATCGCGACTACCACCATCGCAAAGCCGTTAAGTCAAATTCGCCCTTTCACTGGATAATGTACAAGAAGATTAAATCTTACGTCAATATAAATGTTAAGAAATGCAAAGCTGAATACTACTCGAACCTGATCAATACGAATAAAGGAAACACTAGTGCTTTATGGAAAACGTTAAATGACATCTCGTCCTGAAAATCTCACTGCTCGCCATCTTGTATTGAAGCTAATGGTGTTTCTCATACCGACCCAAAGTCTATAGCTGAGTCATTAAACGACCATTTCTCAAGCATAGGATCCAAATTGGCATCTAAGATAAGAAATTTGTATCCAAATCGGATTTCTATCAAGCAACCTAGTCAGTTTAGGGAAAATGAATTTGTTTTCCAGCCAATTGAAGAAAGTTATGTGTATGGTGTTCTGAACAATCTTAAAACCAACAAAGCTGTAGGACTCGACAAAATCAGCGCTAGGTTACTTAAAGATTCTTCCAGTGTTGTAACTCCCATCCCAACCAAACTTTTCAATCGTTCACTCACTTCCTCAACATTTCCATCAACCTGGAAGTCTGGCAAAGTAACAGCGCTTTTTAAATCTGGAGACCAATCCAATGATAGCAATTACAAACCAATCACGATACTCCCAACAAGCAGTAAAGTTCTCGAGAAAGCAGTTGACTCTCAAGTTTACCGCTACCTTATTGACAATAAAATACTAACACCACGACAGTTTGGTTTCAGACCTAAACTTTCCACTGAGATTGCGCTCGCACATTTCACGGACACCATTTTGGCTAACATGGACAAAGGTTTAGTAACCGGAGCTGTTTTTCTTGACCTGGCTAAAGCCTTTGATACTGTCGACCATTCTCTTTTATTTGAAAAGCTTGCCTCATCTGGTCTCTCCAATGATTCTGTCAACTGGTTCAAGTCATACCTAAGCAATAGAAATCAACTTACCGCCCCGGCTAACACTGTTTCCACCTTCAAACACGTTCCTGTCTGAGTTCCTCAAGGTAGTGTTTTGGGTCCACTACTATTTCTTATTTTTGTTAATGATTTGCCTTATTGTATCAACCATT